CACGCACGCACACATATACACACGCACGCACGCACGCACACGCACACGCACACACGCACACACGCACACATACAGGTTTTCACTAATATATTTGTATTCCTATCTGGTCCGAGGATTACGATGTTCTATCACGCACGCACGCACGCACACGCACAGACACACGTACAGGTTTTCACTAATATATTTGTATTCCTATCTGGTCCGAGGATTACGATGTTCTATAGAAGAGTTGCCTGCAATCACCAAATATGTATACAGATGTGGATTTTTCAGCACCAATAACTCATAATATTTACACACATCCCAAAAATTCTAAACAACCAGCACCTTCTAACAACCGCTGCACAGTACACGTATGCACTATGCAATGGGTCACTAATACAACAAACAGAACCTGAATAGCAGATCTGCACATGCTCAGTGATCTTTGACCATATACAGTCATGTGACCTGGAAACCATAATGGCTTCTGCACTACAATGGGTACGATCACTTTCAAAACAACACCAACACTAACACATTAACACTACAGGTAATGTGCATGTCTTCCATCTGGATAATAATATACACATACACTTCTAACTAATATCCGAATCCTTTATAGTTTTCATCACCGGCACACTGTCTCAATTAAATATTACTAGCAGACTTTAATACCCGTACAACCACCAAATCGTGCCTTAAAATATAAACTTCATGTAAGTGACACAGTTGAAGTTAAATATTTCATGCAACTGAAAAGAAAACAGAAACAAAAGAACATTTTGGGAAGAAACAAAGAGGGCAATTCTATAAGTGAGCAGGGAAAAAAAGTGCTCAGTTGGTTACCACTTGGTTGAAAAGAAAATACCCCAAAATCTAACTATATCTATCTATCTATCCATCCATCCATGCATCCATCCATCCATCCAGCCAGCCATCCCTCCATCCATCCATCGCATGCCATGCCATGCCATGCCATGCCATGCCAGGCCATGTCATGCCATCCCATGCCATACCATCTCATCCTATCCCATCCCATCCCATCCCATGCCACCCCATGCCATCCCATGTCATCCCATCCCATGCCATGCCATCATATCCGACCTCATCCTATCCCATCCCATCC